AATAGGCGGGAGTTTCGTAATACCTATCTAACAGTATAAGCTATGTATGTTTCTAAACATAAACTTAATTTAAACAACGTTCATATTAAAATAAATGCATAACAATAAATTCGTTACAATGTGTCTGTAGCTTTCCCAGGTTTTTTGTGTTCCTTTAATATAGAATGTTCTGGCAGAGCAGAATTATGTGTTCTCACCAGTTTTGTGTAGTCTGTAGGTCCTTTCTTCTTGCTTTAATGTGTCTTTCAGTTTCTCCAATGAAGGCCTATTTACAAGAACACGGTATTTTATAAATTATATTTTTATGTTTGTTATCAGTTGTTATTTGTTTAATTTTTAAAAGGATAGACTTCATTGTTCAGTAAGATTTCCAGCGGATGCGAATGTTGAACTTTTTGATCACATTTCTGATTTTCTTACATAGATTTTGCATATATATATATATATATATATATATGAGGTAAATAGTGTCGGATGTATTTTTCTTATTTGGTATGAACTGGTATTTTAATGTTCTTCAAACTATTGGTGATGAAACTAGAAGCAAGTCTGTTTAAAACACCGTATGTTGTATTGGCATTCGGCTTTGATGGAGTTTTCATCGCAGGTGTTTTTAGCTCTGTTGTTCAAGCACTCACTAATACTGAATTTAACAAAAGGTGGATGTTAAGACTAGAAATATAAGTATCTGTCAGTATGGGTTTGTTTCCTTTATATGGTTTGTCATTCTGTCTGTTCATGAAAATGCCAAGGAACGGAAGACTGGTGTTGGTCTCTATTTATCTACAAGCACTACTCTGACCTAGCCAGTTGCTGTATATTTCACATTTGTTTGTTCACTTTCTGAGGGATCTTGCATGTTAAACCAACACAACATTGTGTTGTGCCACGGCGTGAAATCAAATCTGTGGGTTTGGCAGATTCGTAGTCTGCTTCTGAAGTAGTAAATAGAGCGTGCTCTAAAACAGCATAGAAGTTGGCATTACTTGTATACAGTTGGCAAAAGAAAATATTTTTTTCTAGATTTTAGTGTTTTGTGTTTATCTGAAGTAAGATTCTGAATTGTTGGTGACACTTATAAAACCTGTAGCATCTTATGCTGGTTGATGTGTGTGATAGCAAAAAAGAAACAAATTGCTAGCTATTTATGCTGATATCTATTCACGGTTACTTTGGTTTTGGTGATATAATTTGAAATGGAGTTGTTGTGACTCAATAACAGGCACTTAAAAGCTTTCCCGTGCAATGAAAATATCTGACTATCAATGTATCAGTGTACGTTTGATCATATTGAATTTTTTGTTATTTTACCTCTTGTGATGTTAAACTATGCAAGATCAAATATACTCTCTTTGAGTTTAATCCGAGTTTTCAGTTTTAGTTGTGCTGTAATTCTTTTTTCCCAGTGGTTCAGTGGAAGATCTGAAGGCTTATAACGCCATAGAAACCGGGTTTCTATACCCAT